AGAACCCAGGAAGCATGGATGGTGGACTGCTGTGCACTTACCTCATCAGTCTAATTTTCAAAACAGGATTTGAAATTGGTTTTCTAGTTTTGTTTTACAAGTTGTATGATGGGTTTAATGTACCACGCCTTATGAAGTGTGATGTTAGACCATGCCCCAATACTGTAGATTGCTACATCTCCAAGCCTACAGAGAAGACAATCTTCCTCTTTTTTTGTGGTGTAACTTCATGCTTATGCATTGCATTAAACATAAGTGAATTGGGCTATCTGACTTTCAAACACTCTTTGAAGTGTCTAAAGAGGTATGTCAAGAGAGGTCATATCTTGAAATGTGAGTGTCATGAGCTGAAATGCACTGCTTACAATGGAACATCAGCTAGAGTTCTGACCCATACCAATGCTTCACCCATGCTTTTCAGTCTCTTTGATAAATCTGAAAGCTGTCCACCGATTTGTCAAGATAAAAAATGTTGTGAGATGTTAAAATGAATTGTTTTAATTTCTTTTATAAGTAGATAAAAAAAACTTTGAAGTTTCTTCATTTTCAAGTAGAAAAAAAGAGCATTGTTAAGAAAAGTCAGTTGTATTTTTTGTTTTGTATTTCCTTTGGTTGAACTGCTACATTCACTTGCATTAGAGATTTTACACATGGAATTATACAGGTTTGTCCAGAATGAATCAAGACATAAAAGGATGACATTTTCACTGAGCTGTAATATAAATATTGATGCATGTGATAAAATCACATGGAACAGACAATTGCTCAAATAGTTGTGTTCTGAATATTTTATGTGACTGTTTGATACAAGCCTAAAGAGGCTTTTTGTGTCTAAAGCTGAGACTTTAGAGCTTGCTAGCACACTGGAAATGATAAATTGAGCATATCCAGTTATATTATCCTACCAGTTAAAAGCCACACTGGGGTAGATGTCTAAAAAACACTGGATTCATAGGTGTCCCATATGAAGCAAGTTTGATGGTTTTAGCCTTCTCTTATGAAATTATGATATTTAAAAACTTAACAATAGAAATGTTGAGCATATAGAAGCTCAAAACTTTTCAAAAAGTATTTTAGAATTTCTAGAAAAGATAAAGCTAGAGGATGGTCACCAATTAAATTGTCAAGGTCCTATTCAAAAGTGTAAATGTACTATTACAAAGAGTATTAGTTAGTTAATGCTATGGCTTAGGGCAAGGTTGGCCAACCTGTGGCAGGAGTGCCACTAGTGGCACGGTCAGCCTCTGCGTGTTGGCGTGTAGCGGATAAGGGAAAGGACAGGCAGCACACCACCAGGAAGGACAAAGCAGAGCAGATCAGGGAAGGGGGTAACTGCATGAAGGAGAAAGCAAAGCAAGAGATATGGGGACTGGAGTAGCACTCAGAGAGGGTGTGGGGCTAATTTGTAGGATGCCTGCCAGAAAGGTTGGCTCCTACAGGACTAGGAGACAGATAAAAATTAAACACTTATTCCACAGAGGCTGACTTTTTTTGCTAGGTAGTTGGAAGGCAGACAGTTTAGGATAGAAGATGGTAATGACAATGGGAAGGAGTATGGAAAAGCATCTATTTTTAATGGAGGAAGTAAACATTGGTTGAGAGGGTTGGGAAGTGAGGTTGGGCTGTGTGGGAGGAACACTCCCGGGTGAGGGGTAGGGGTTCAGGATTGGGTGGGGTGTGGTAGCATTTTTCTCTGCTTCTCTGGCAAAGGGTTAAATTTCAGCGCACTGTTTGGAAGATCTGTTGGTTATTACATGCTATCCTAATATTTTATGTTTTTATAATTTATTTTTTATTGCAAGTTCCCTTGAGCCTTTTCTGGGGAGGGCAGCATATACATCTAATAAACAAACAAATAAATTCATTTTGTGATGAACTCCATGGGGAAAAGTACTGAACCAGGCAAAAATGTAGACCTTTCCAACTTCAATTTCTGTTTCATTCTACTGTCATTTTGGTTTTCCTGTGTTTATTTTTGGAATTCTCCCCTCACAACCTCTTCTAAGGCAGAAGGACTGTTGTTAGGAAGCATAAATGGTTTGACTACCTGCTTTTATACATACACCCACCTCTGAAAATGGAAGGTTAGTTAGCCTGTGACAGTCCAGTAAATAAAAAGCTGAATTTGCCTGAATGATCTCCAATAATGCATACAATGGTTTATGTCTCTCTTGGAAATAACTTCTGGAGAAAGAAAACGATGCACATTAGCGAATGTTAGCAGATAGGCTAAACACAAAGAAAATAACAAATTTCTCAAATAAATAAAGCTAAAAAAAAAAAGCTTTTTTGGGGGGGGGGGGGTAAGAGGCATAGACTTATTGGCATAAAACTGTCATCTTATTACAGTCTTAGCATTCCTAAAATGAGCTCGAGCAATGAACTGTTGTTTTTCAAGCCTACGTGTGCACTTGCATTGTGTTTAGAGATATTTTTTTTTACTGATTGTGAAACAGTACATTTCTATTGCTGCTGTTTACAGTTGCAGCAGATTTGAACTTTTTCTCAGATGCCAGACTGCCAGCTCATGGCCAGTTAAAGATTTGCATCTTGAATAAAATACCGTACCAGAGTGGGTAACAACAGATAAAGCAGGGATGCTGCAATTGATTTTATCTGTTCTTGCCAAATATGCTTTTGCAGAATTCCTGCAAAATTTTCTATGCATTTATCCATATGGAATATACCATCCAAACTATTTTCAAAAGCAAGCTTTGATACAGCTATCACATAAGAAAGGACCAGGCACTGACTGAAGCAAATTTTTGGCCACCATACTAAGCCTATACAGCTGTTACTACAAGTTATACCTTTATAACCTTCCATTTTATGCACTACATAGCTTCTTCTCCAAGAGAGGAAAAAGAAGGGGCTAACATCAATGAAAGGAAAGTAATTTTATTTTTAAATCGGCTTTAATTTGCAGACACTGTTAAGTTCTAAGATGTAAAGTAATTAAAAAGACCTGAGAATGCTTACCTGAGAAAGACTAAGAATACAGAATCATGCTAGCACAGGCTTTTACTTAAATGCTTTAGTTGCTTTTCAGTAACGAAAACATTCTACGAACAGAGCCCAGGTTGTTTTTTTTAAACTTTCTCTTAATATAAGAGACTTCCTTGTGTGCAGTTGGGCAACAGATAAAATCTTAGTTCACAGGCAATGTCAACATTCCTAAATGTTTCCATTACAATTAAAAAACAAAACATAATAAAAATTATAAAATATTTCAAAACACTGCAAAATAAAAAAATGCCAAAATTAAAATGGCTTGTTTTGAAGTGAAGCAGGAACTTTCATCAAAATTAGACGCTCTCTGAAATGCCTGAAGTATGCCAAAACCAGCATTTTTCATTGAAAACAATATTTGAAGAAAAAATTTCCAATCACAGCTCTAACCTTGCCTAACTATCCCCATCCCCATCAATTTGTAACCTAATATCCAGCTGCACCACTTTCCTGCATGGTGGTACCAGGAAAGCATTTGATATAGTAACTGAAAATAAGAAACAGGGAACACACAAGCCAACTCTTCGTGGGCCACCACCAGAAAGGGGCTTGTGCCGAGGGATGAACAGTGATGACTGGTTCCTTCCATTCTAAACCATGACTCACGATCAGCCTTATTTTGTAGGTTCTAGTCTCCCTTAAACCTTTTGTATGTTTATGCTTTCTTCAGGATTTCTCCTATCCACGTCTGAAATTCTGTTGATGTTGTACCTTGTTTCATAACAATTTGTAATTTGGGCTCCCAAGAGAAAGCTTGAAGCTTTTTTCCTCAAAATTAATCCAGAGCTGAGGAATGGAAAAAACCCTCTCTCTTTAAAAACAATCTCTTCAAAATATATTTAAAAAGTAAAACTCTTTCTTTAAGGGCACACACAAAAAAGCGATGCAAGGTTTTTCTAATGGAAGAGTGATGCATGTGTTTCATGCACATTCATGTAGTTTGAAACAAACCCATCTCAAGCATTTAAAAACATAAATTCTAAGTTTTAATTTTTTTAAAATCAAACATCTCTTCTTGCCTCTTGACAAAAATAGTTTCAATGCTGATGAAAACTATACCTCTGTGGTAAAACTGTTTTCCTATGTATTCATACATAAGCTTTTAACCCTTCCAAATCCCCTTCACCTTATACAACCATCATCTTAAAAAGACTCCTCTTCCTGGTGCAGAGTGTAAGATCCTCAGTAGCAGCAGCCTAAGCTAGTCACATGGATGGTTCTTTGCCATACGTGAAACAGCAACTTTCTCATTTCTTTCACTAGTCACCTAAATGGCTCACTGGTAGAGTAGGGAGAGGATATATGCCCTTGTTTTGTACACATGCTGACCCACAACAGACCAGCTTTTTGGCTCCATTGTAGCTCATACCCAAGTTGCAGTTTACATTAACCCATGGTGGTTTTTTGTTTTTGTTTTTTTACTTCTCTGGGCTACATATCCCAGCTTAATTTCATATCACTTACCTGAGAGTAGAACAGAAGGAAAAAGAGCACCCAGAAGATAAATGACACATTTAACAATATCATCTACAACTCACTTTTTTGTTGATGCTAAGACTGAAGTAACCAGGCCTTAGGAGGTCTATTTCTACCACTTAAGGATTCCAATTTCGAACTAAAAAAAAATTACTACCAAAATCAGTCACACTTTAAACATCTTTTACTTTTGGTTTGAAATTCTAAAAAGAGCAGGCCTGAGTGAATATACAGAAGGTGCCCCTTTTTCAGTCACTATTCTGGGTAGAAAACACAATTTTACCAAACCTCAATATTCTCTGAACTCCACCATATTTTAAATCACAACTATTTAAAAAAAATTAAAATGTTTTACTTAAAAGGAAAAATAAATACCACACTGTGGGAGTAGATTACATCATAATCAGGCTAACCAATATCCATTTAACAGGAAGTAAGAGCTAATGACTTTTTTCCTACAGCACCCACAACATCCCATATGCCTGACTTAGTATGAGGGCAGATGGAAGATGGGGAATAATATATCTTCTTGGAGATCCTGTCAGCCAGTGTTAGGGTCCAAAACAGAAACAATTTCCTGAATATTTATATCAGTGGAAAAAGGTGGGGGATTTTAGAACATGCCAGTGTAGAACTATGAATTCAAAATGTACATAAGGAAAAATGTTGCCCTCAAATACTCATATGCTATTTCCATTATACAGGAAGGCATGAGAATCTAGGTTCTAATGCATGGAAAAATGATACCAATTAGAAACGAAAGTGATTGTGAGCAGTATATATTCATTTAGCCTGAATGAAGTGCAAATCATAGAGTATATACCTTGTGAATGCAAACTCTTAAGAAATTGTTACATCTTACATAACAATTAAAAAGGCGCTAACACAGGTCAGAAATTCTTTTAAAAAACTTGAGATTACTGACAGTGTACCACTGATCGACACATTACCATTCACTCAGAAGTGCCAGAGACTCCAAGGAAGATTACAGATTTTTTTACAAGATTGGATGATCAAAAGATATGTTCTAGACAACCACAACTACTGTACTTGAAGCTGAAGTCATTCCAGGAAGTGCTATGGCCCATATGATGGCGGTTAGACTAAGTAATCACAACAGTCCTTTCTGGCTTTGAAATATTTCATGGCGTTTTGTTTTAAACATTTATTTTTAGAGTGCATGTTTGCATTGCCATTTTGGAGGCAGCAATAGTTCAGTGGCTCAAAAGAAGACGAAAGTTCTTACTGACAGCTAACAGACTCACCTAATTCTAGAGCTCATGATTGTGAGAAAGATGGTACTCAATTAAGGATCAGATGACAACAGATTCTTCACAAAGTTTAAATCCTATAATCTCTCCTACTTCATACATCTTCACTCTTAAAGCAGATAACTCATGTGGCTCTGAATTTAAGTATCCTTTAAACTAATATACAAGTAAACTGTCAAAGAGTACAGGTGAAAAGTTTAAAGCAATCAAGTGTAGTATTTAATGCAAAGAGATTTACATGGAAGTGAGGCAATTCTGTAGAAAAATCAAGACAACAGCTGTCAAGATAAAGTCCATTTTATACCACTGAAGGTAGTTTATGTCCAATGACTGAGGGAATCCAAGGAAAAATATTTTTGGTACCACACAATACAGCTGGTTTGTTCAGTTTGAGATAAAGAGTGATCTTAAATTTTCAAAACCACTTTCCATTTTCCTGGATAATGACAGCTTCCACTAATGTATTCACTGTTTTGGTTTCTACACAGATCTGATACCTGTCTTTTCAATTAGCAGCATACAGAGTGATCACTCAGAGCCTACTTATGGCAAGTGGCACTGCTCCCAAGGCTCATTCCAGTGGGGAAATACAGAGTAGATAAACTGTTTCCAAATACAGTCAGCAAAAGCAAAGGAAGTGCTGAGAGAACCTATGCCATCTGCTGAATAGAGCCACTTAATTTTGTCTGTAAGATTAGAATTTCACTTCCTTTTCAGAAAGTGCTTTGTTTATTCAGTTTCAAATGCTACGGCATGAGGACTCATGTTTTTATAGATAGATACCAAAATGGTATTATCAAAATAAACCATCTGCTTATAAACCCACTATTTACAAAAAAACTGCTTTTGAAGTAGCATTTTTTTAACAAAAAGTTAAACTATACACCAATCTAAGTTACAGAAACAAAAATAACCTTTATAAGATCACATGTATAAAATAAGAAATGAAATGTGATTTTATTTAAGGCAATACTGGGCTACTTCACAAATCACCACCTCAAATATATACACTGCTCCACACTACTAATTTTCTATCACATTCACAACAGGTTCTTTAATACCAAATGTTGTTTTAAATCTCCAATGTAGCAAACTATTTTTATTCACATTTCCATTTTATTATGGAATCATAAATGCTTTGTATCCAATTAAAAGCAATGAAAAATGCAGCTATAGGAAAAACTATTAAATTTGTGGTTTAACTACATATGAATATCATCCAAAGATGCTGGATGTTAAAATTTACAAAAATGAGAACTGTGTCAGCAGGTGTTTAACCTATGAAATGTGATCTTATCCAGCTCCTCTCCTGTAAATAAATGCTTTATGCAAAATAAACTGGCTATGGCAGACTTATTTTGTTTTAGTTCAAAAAATTCTTAATTTAAAATGATTAAAGGACAGTTTTAAAAACTCGATCACTTAGTTACAAATTAAAATTCCGAATATAAATGTGTCATTTAATAGTTTAGACTTACAGACTGCTGGTGGCAGCAAATGATTTACAATAATAAATATATACAAAAAATGTATCTACAAATAAAGAGTACTGTTATACATGAGCAGTGACCTGGTGAAAGATACCAATCACAAACAATTCACAAAGATTTATTCCATGGAAAGGACGATTTGATAGAAAGTTGAGGTTTTGATCAACTATTTACAAAACTGAAGCAAATGATTCTGTTCAAGTCCCATAGGGATAAAAACAAATAAGAAATTTACATGACTAATGTCATGTTTTTTGCTAGGTTAAATCACTTCAACAAAATAAAAAAGCTTCACAATTACTAGCATGCTTGATGGCTTCCTATTCAAAATAAAAATGTATTACAGGTCATGTTTAGAGAACGTTATTAAGTTTCAGTACTGTGAATCCCCTGCCTCTTTACCCACATTCATTTCTTTTGCAGCTGTAATCTCTGAATCATTCTCCCAATGTCCTTCAAGTTTTTTCAAACTGACGGTAGGTTTCATTTCCTGAAGCTGCTTCAACACAAGTGCAGTGTAGTCTTTAAGAGTTTTGTCTAAAACTATTTTTACATTACCACTACACTGGAGCTGCGATGGATTGGCAAACTGTACAAAGGTTTCGCTTTCAGAACATGCCCATGTGACATTACTACCTGCCAATAAGGTCTTTTCAGTAGATTTTCTTGAGTATGAATGGGACCCTTTTTTGGTTCCACTGGTATGGTAGTCTCTGTCAGCATTTTTCTTTTGCTTCACAGCAGACTCTTCAAGGAACTTGAGGAATGAAACTTCAAATCCCATAGGCTTGAAAGAACTCCAGTCAAATGTTGTAGGTTGTTCTTCAGCAGTTTGAATAGCAACAGCAGTCTCTTCCTCCCTATGCATGCTACTTACTTCAAGTGGCAGTACTTCAGGTTTCTCAATTTTTCTTCTTTTATTCTGAGAGAGATTTTTTTCTTTATTTGCTCTCTTTAAATTATTTGATTTTTGCTTTTCTGAGCTGGTTTCTTGCAAGTCACTATTTACACCAGAAGAGGTCTTTGCTTGATTCTCAACACTCATGCAATCCTCATTAATCAATTTAGTAATGAACAATTCTGTCAGTTCATCCACTTCATCTTTTTCACCTTTGCCAATTTCACCTTGTGGTAATGTAGACGTACTTGAGTCATTACTAACCTCTGACAAACAAGGATCAGACTCTTTCACATCGCTTTCTTTATTAGGCTCCTCCTGTTCACCAGATGCCTCCTTTACTGGTGTGGCAGAATGTTTCTTGGAGACAATGAGAAGATTTCTATGTTGTGAAGTAAATGCCTTAGATAATTTATGACACTTATAATGTCTAATTATATTACTCTCACTTGTAACAACTGATGAACATCCCTTTATCATACAAGGATATTGTGTTACAAATCGGCTTGTACACTCAGATAAGGCATCATTTCTTGCCTTTATTGAATATACATTCTTTCCACGCTTCAGTGAATAAGCCTTGTTTTCTTGAATTTGCCCGCCTTTTGTATTCTTGTTTTCCAAGTTGTTGGTTTTCTTTCGTTTGGTCTTTATTGGCAATCTGTTTCCTTCTTTTCCCAACCTATTGTGTTTCAGTCCTCTATGTTTAGCCTTTAATGGTTTCTCCTGGTTTGCTTTGCTTGAAATATTTTCCTGACCTGGTGTTAAACGCCTGGGTCTTATTAGATGATCTTTATGCTTGTCATTATGTTTGTTAAAAATGTGCCTTAGCAGATTGGATCTAGTTGCATAAATACGGTCACAGCCCTCACAATCGCATTTGAATACACCATCCTCTTCCACTTTGTTTTGCCTTATCTTAATTCCATGATCTGTTTCAAGATGTACAATATAATTAAAATATGCTGTAAAAGAAGATTTACAGTGAGACTGATCACAAGGAAATTTTCCAACATCCAGGGCTGATTTCATGCTTCCAATTTCCTCAGGAGACATCTCATGAAGCTTCATGTAATGCTGTATCAGACTTGTAACCTCCTGAAATATTCGAGAGCAGTCACTCACCTCACACCTGAATTCTTTCACAGTCTGTTTGGTTTCAGTTTCATCACGTTCTTCTTTATTTGGCTCACTTTCTTCTTCAACCTCCACAGAGAAAACAGGTAAATCTGACTTGTGTACAGCCTGATAATGAAGAATTAGATTTTGCTGTATTGTAAAAGCTGCAAAGCAGCCTTGATGGACACATCGGTATGGTCTGTAGGGGCTATATCGGGTAGGAAACTCAAGAGATTTAGTAACGGGTTTCCTGCGTTTTCTTTCCTCTTTTTCTTTCCTATGCCGTCTAATTTTGCGTACTTTTGGTTGCATCTGCATGTTACTAACAGACGCTGCATTAAGTTGCTCCGTAGGAATAGCAACCACCTGTGGAGGTTTTTCCAGTTTTTCAGGAATATTTTTTGTAGGAATTAGTTTTTCGAGGATTTTCATAGGCTCTGTGACAGCCTCCTTTACTTCAGTTCCTTTAGCTAACTGAGGTTCATTTTTATTTTCTATTATTAGATTTTGCAGACTTTTTATTTCAACAGGTCGTGGAGTTGCATTTATATTTTCATTTTGAGATCTTCTACCATATGGTCTTTTTATTTTTAATTTTACCATTTCCTCTGTTGTAAAATGATGAACAATCTGGCAGTGTGCTCGGAGATTAGAGTTCCTGGTAAATGTTTTTGGACACGTAGTAACAACACATTTAAATGGGGCATACTTCAACTGATGCTTCTTGATTTCCAGTATCATTTCTGGAGTGTACTGATGCACTTTGCCATAGTGTTTAAATAATGCATCCTTTGTCATAGCACTATAATTACAGCCTTGGTCCTGGCATACAAAAGGCTTATGGACTTTGTCACTGAATTGAACGTGACTTGTCTCTGAAGATGGTGGGGCAACAGAAGCCTTCTCAGTTGATACAACAGGGGCAGGAGTCACTGGTACAAGTATATCTGCTGGAGGCTCCTCAGATACACTGTCAGACTCCTGAGTGGTCGAATCATTTTCTAATCTCAGTTTCTGCAAGCCTTCTAAAATACCCAACATCAGAACATCATCCTTTTGAGAAGATTCTGACTGAGAAGAGTTGCTCACTGCACTAGTGATATCTGCAGTGTGCACTGCAAACTGGATATGGTTGGTCAATTTAGTATTTTGTGAAGTGTTTGCTGGAGAAAGCTCTGCAGTATTAATGTGTGAGTCCTGTGGTGACCGAATGACGGCATCCTGGATTTCACTTTTTACCTCAAGTATCTGGGAATTCCTGGCAGTCTTAATTATTTCCATGGTTTTCTCAAAGTTTTGATTAACACTGTCTTCTGAAATCTGTAGATCAGAATTTCCTTGAGCACAAGAATTCATTTGGGAGTCACCATTTTCCGTTTTTATTGTTAAAGGAGCTAATGCTGCATGAGACTCAAGATTACTTTTGAAATTCTCTTTGATACTGGCCATGAACAACTGATTGTCAACACTATTTAGTTTCTGTGTAAGATTTTCCACCAATACCTGGGGCTCACAGTTTGCAAGCATGTTTGACTGAAAAGTATCTGTTGGTATTTGCACACTTCCTTCAGTACTTTTGGCTAGAAGTCCCATTGCTGTTAAATCATTTACTGCTAATTTTTGTGAAGTGTTAGGTGTAAGCAATGGAGCAGTTGTTTTTTTCTTTCTCTTTGAAGCACTACTTCCTTTCTTATTCAAGCTACTTGGTACTGAATTCTTAGGACTACTTATAACCGAAACTCGTGAACTATTACCTGCAAAATTCTGTGTTGCTGCAACCGAATTAGAAAATGAGCTAGAGCACAAACCATTTTCAATAGTCTTTAACATTAAATCATCTGTTGCAAAAACAGGCAAACTGCTGCATTCATCTATTGAAGAAATTTTGGTGTTGAGGGTCCTGTTTTGGTCTGTTAGCAGGGTACTTGGGTTGCAGACTGTCTGCAAAAGAGGCGATACAGTTGAATTGGAGAGAATCGAAGTATTCATCTGAGTTGTACCAGTGACACAGCTAGTTGTAACTACATGGGGAAGCATTTCTGTATTATCAAATGTACTTGGAATGCCTGCAGTTTCCAAGGCTTGTTTAATAATTTCATTACCTTCCGCATTGCCACTGGTATTAAAGTTAGTCACATTAGTCCGTGAAAACATCTGAAAAAAAGCATTTGAGCGATTTTCAGCTGCAAGCAACTGCAGGAACGATGGGTCCTTAAAACAAGCTTCTGGGTTAAAGGCAGACTCCTGGGACTGCTGCAAGTTTAGCGTATTTGAGGAAAGAATCATGCTGGCAAGCAGAGATTGTCCATTAGTCTGCAGGGCTTCTGCAGAAATTTCTGATTCCTCAAAAGGTTTACAGTAGGACCGTTTAGATAAGTGACCACCAAGTGATCTGGGATTAGTAAAAACTCTGAAACACCTACTACAAATAAATTTGCCGTCTCTAATAATGGCTGGCCATTTGGCCCGCTTGTTATGTTTTGGTTTCCTTTCTTTCCCATTAGGACCCCGTCCACGATCCTTTTTCATTTTTTCTAAAGCTGGTTGCTCAGAGGTGGTTTCACTGAAGTTATTTCCACTGTTCACTTGAGAAGGAAAGATTTGATCATCAATAGTTTCTTCCTTTGGAAAAGCAGAACTAGCATTTCCTTCAAGTTGTGACGAAAAATGATTTGTATTGTTTTCCAGCTGTGAGAAGACTGAATTTGTTGCGTTATCTGCTGGTGAAGGAAAGAGAGAACCAGTTTCTGCAGGCAAAGGAAGGAAAGGATCTGAGCCACTGTCAATATTCAAAGGCATAACTGTTTTTGCCAGATCTTCCAATTGTGAAGGTAACGTTGTATTAGACATATTTTCCATTTGGGAACATAAAACATTCTCAGGTTCACTTTTAATACGAGAAGACAGACTTGGATTTATGACACTTTCCACAGTAGGTAACATAGGATTAGTCAAATTTTCTAAGTGGGCCGGGAAAAGTGTATTTGAAACATGCTGCAATTGACTGGAGCAAGTGGGATTTACACTGGTTTTGCTTTGTGGGGTAAAAGCTGCATTGTTAGGATTGCCTACTTGTGATGGCAAAAAATATACAATCTTTCCATCATTTGGCATATTCTGTAAATTGCTAGGTTTTCGTGGTTTCTTGTTCTTACGTTGCATTTTAAAAGCAGCATATTGATCAGGATGTGCTGCCTTCATATGTTTGCCAATACTTTGTGAAGAGTTGTAGGTTCGAGTACACCCCTCAACTTGACAATTAAATTTTTGAACTGGTGCTGCCGGTGGTACAGTTGAAATTGAAGAACTGCTTAGGCTGGACTGTGATGGAACAAATGTAATACTCTCTAATGGCTTCAGAGGCAGATTATATAGATTAGCTGCAGCCTTAATACTGTCATCAAGTTCAAGTTTGGATATAGGTACATTATTGTGATACCCTGCCTGATTCTGCATGCTGAAAGGATTAATAATATCACTTGCTTGTCTTTCTACATTTTTTGAATCAAGAGCTTCTGGTTTTAGTGTGTTTAAATTTACAGAAATATTCTGAATATTCTGTGACTGATTGAAACATTCGTTCTCCTTTCTTTTCTGGAAAACTGGAAGACAAGAATCTTCAGCTGCTGAACACAACTGCTGGACAACAGATTTACTGTTATCTATTTTACTGCCTGCAGCAGCTAACTTGCCCCTTCTGACAAAGTTATCTCGGATCTTCTGGCTAAGACCAGGTATCTTAATGTTACTGCCAGGAAATGTTGTTTCTGTCTTTGCCGGGCCAGTGACAGGTTGTTCCAAATCATCAGCAGGCAGGGCATTACCTTGTGTAAACAAGCTGGCTGCATTCTCAGTCCCAACTGCATCTGCTTTGATTTGATCCCAGACTTTACTTTCTCCTTCAGTAAAGTTACTTGTATTACTGTCTAGAGGAAGCACTGATTCTTCTTTTACAGTGACCCCTTCAGTGTTTTTATTAGCTTTTGAAGGTTGAGTATGATCCGTTGGATTAGTCTGGCATTCAGTTTGTAAAACCTTTTCGGGCTGCTTATTATGATCCTCAACGTGTCTTTCTAGCTCGTTCTGAGAACGATAAACTTTCCCACAGCCTGTGAATTTGCAGGTATAGGTATTATAATGTTGTGCTTCATGATCATAGAGCAAATATGCTTCTGAAAACACTCTGCCACATTTAGGAAACATACACTTTGCCCTGAAAACTTGATGCTCTTTTCTATGAGTCAACAACTCAGCATAACTGTTAAAACCAGCCTTACATTTCATCTGTATGCAGATATAGGGTTTGCTGCCACAGTGCATTTGCAAGTGATCATTAAGGTGAGTAACACTTACAAAATGTCGTCTACAGTACTGGCAAATCACTTTTTTGCTCTGCATTTCAAGAAAACGTTTAGCCTCCTCATTATCTTTGTGGCCCTTGGCATGGGCAATCAAATTTTTGAAATATTTAAAACCTTTTTTACATAATGTTACAGGGCAAGTGAACTCATTAACAGGCAACGGCTTTTGAACTGGTACTATCTCTGGTACATACGGTTTGTCTTTGTCATCGTTTTCGTCGTCTGAACCATCATTATCATTAAAAACAATGAAGTCTGCTGAATAAAGACTGTTCTTTTTAATGGGTCGCTGTTCCTGCTTGGATATAGCATCAGACTTCTGATTCTCATTGGTGGTTGCTATTTTAGGAGGTCTTCCCAGTCTTCTCAATGGTTTCATAGCAGCCAGTCTCTCTTTGCTGGACTTCTTAACATGTAGAGTTACATGAGGAACAAAGGTTTCTTTAGAATTAAAATTCTGTGCACATATAGGGCAACTGTAAATTCCATCTTTATAGTGTTTTTGTGCATGCCTAACTATTCTGTGACCAAGGAATTCTTTGTCGCATAACACACAATACTGCATGTAAGCTTGCCAGTTCCTGAACCTCGCGGATATGAATCCTCTCTCTCTGAGTTTTTTTATTTCTCTCTTTTTCTGCTTTTCATCCCTGATACCTTTAAGGAGGCTAGTAGCTTCATCAAAACAACCAGGAAATCCATTCAAAGAAGTTTCTTTATTTTCCTCTTGGCAGTCCTCAACTTTCTCATATACTTCACTATCATTCAACTCATCTATTGAGGACACAATAGATGCCTCCTCTCCCATCAATGCGAGACACTGACGCTTTAAGGTTTTCCAGTCCCAGAATTCTGGATCAAAAGGCCACTGAGTTTTCAGTACAAGTAAAAGCTCACAGCGTAACGAATTTGGTATTGGAAGATTCTCTTCATCATATTTCTGATCAGGCTGATTATACAGCATTTCAACAGCATAATATGCATCCACAGTAGGCTCAAGAAGAAATTCACTCAATTGACAAGCACGTTTAACCTCCAAATCATCTGGCAACAAACAGGAGATAGTCTTGCAAATAGATATCTTGACATCTGCATTTTCACTGGATTCCAAACGTAGTGCCTTCACACACAGTTCAATGCAGGTTGCAAGTCCAGCTGCTTCAATCTATGAAGAGGGAAACAAAGTTTAAAGATTTGTCTTACTACAACTATGCCTCCATTTGTAAATACAAGATAAATATCATTGCTCAACCCTGAATTTCAAGAAAGTGTAAATGCAAACCATAATATGCTTATTATTCATATTTTAAGCTTTAAAAATAGCTAATTATTAGCTCTCTTTGTTAGAACTGTGAGCCACTATGAATTAAACAATGAACACTATTCTCTGAATTAACTGCTAAAGGAATCTAAAGAAACCGCCTTTGTAAATTTACACAGAACTGTGAAATACAGTATTAAGTGTTCTCATACCATCTTGTCAGGCCTATCTGTTTCAGGATTGTGTATTACAGTAGCACAGTCTTCATATTAGTGAAGTACTGGGCCTTTTCCAAATAAAGGCGGCCAACTGTGCTAGAGTTATCTGCAATGGACTAACTTGATACCAGACTCATTTCACTTAGTTGACAGTACCACAAACCTTCACGCAACTTGCTCAGTCTATTTCTCAGTAAACCAGTCCCCAATAAATATAGCATTAGGAACCAAGTGACCAGCCATCTGTGGCAAACCTCTTAAATTGAACTGAATTTATAGATCTCCAACCCTGCAGAAACTCAAGAAATGGCCAAATCTGAAGCTACAACATTGGGTAACCCAATGTACAAGATCAGCTGAGATATACAGATTGAATTTATGATACAGCATTAGTTCTAAATCATAAAAGAAGAGCATTTCAGACTTAAGATAACTTAATCCCTCAAAGCAAAACCTACAAATTGGTGGCTTTTATGTTCAGAGAAAGTTCGCATTTCTCCTTAAGCATTTTAAGTATCAAGGATATCAGATGCTCAAATTCCTCTCTTGACTGAAGTAACTTTTCAAGCTATTTGGAGAACATGAAGAAAATGATATGGCAGTTAGCTGTACCACAGCTTCAGCATGCCCTTCCAATGGCTCAACGGCAGTGTCTGCTTTCCTTTATTGCTTATTTACACACACGTTGCAGTGACTTCACTGAATTGGTTCAAGTTGCAACCTTGCAACCCATCAAGTGGATATTATTAAAAGCGTATTAGGAGTGCACCGATATATCAGTTGGCTAATCAGATCGGCACTGATAAAAGGAGAAATTATGTTATAGGCTTTTGGGGTCTTTTGGTCATTGTAGCCGCTAATTAGCTGCGTGCCTGAAGCACCCTAGTGAGCACAGTCCAGTCCCTGTGCCCCACCACCAGCCCAAGCCTGTGGCAGACTATGTGGTGAGCAATGGGAGGGGGAGGAGGCGCTAGGGAGCAGTTACTATGCTCAGCAACAAAGGGACTGTTACCGGCTCCTGCTGCCACTGCCATGGCCATGTCAGGTGCACAGCAGGGGCCTGAGTGCTGGGGCTGCCACAGAGACGTTGGGCTGCTTGTGTGCAGGGTAAGGTGCTGCTCAAGGGACATCCTGCTCTACCAGGCTCCTTTGCAAAACCAGCTTCTCCCCGGTGGCTGGGGGAGCTCAGCCGTGCAGGGCCCATCAGTGCTGAGGCAGCAGAGAGCTCTGGGGTGCCAAACATACCCAGTGCCAGTCCATGCGAGGGCCTGTCCCACCTACCCAGGACGGCAAAACGGGCTATGCAGGGAGCAGGGCTTTGGGTAGCAGCTGTGGGTGAGGGGGTGATATACATGGGAATAAGGTGATCACCGCCTTCCTCATCGAGGGCCAGAGCAGGGAGGAGTTGTGTGTGTTATAAATACAAAACAAACAAAAGTTTTATTTATGTCAGTAGTTTAAAATACCTTGCACTATTACCAAATATCAGTTATTGGATCAGCATTGGTCAATATGGTTGGCTATTCATCTGCTATTGGGAGTGGCCAAGAAAATCTTTATTGGTGCACCCCTAGTATTAATTCAAGTTTTATTTTTTACCAACTTAATCTGAATAGATATAAAATGTTCTTAAACAATTTTAACTGTCCACACAAAAGGTGAGCAATAACTTAACTACCAGTTTCTGAAAAGATTAATATTACACTGAAACAACTTATTCACATAGCCAAGGCTACTGGATTGTATGCATTTGACAGCTGACATCTAAAAAACTGTCAAATCCTTTTCTGATTTCCATTCAGAGGACAATAAAAATATATTCTCCAGAGCATTCTTACCTCTGAATTAATTACTTTAATCAGGAAGAATATGTGATAGACTGTTTTAGTTAACACAGAAAGTTGACGACACCTCTCTAGATACACTTGTACAGAGGGCTCTACCCTTTGCTGCAGTTTACTCCAGAAGAGAGTCAGTTCCCTGGAAACAGAAATTTAAAAATTAGAATAAAATATAAATGCCACCAATAATACAAACACTAACAGATTCTAACTATGCCTGAACAAGGGTGTTCGTGCCTTAAAGCTTGCAAAGAACATTTTTTTCCAACTATTTAGTTGGTCTAATAAAAGATATCACATCTACCCAAATAACCTTGTCTACAAATAATACAAGCATTACATTCGATCATATCTGTTGTTCTTAAAAAAAAGTCAAGACTTAAAGCAGATTCTTTTGCCTGTGAAAAAAAGCTAAACTGATCCATACTTTCCTTTATAAAAATGATAGCCTGGAGAGCAATTCATGCATACTATTTATTATTCTTACTTTGAATTCTAGCATTCTAAAGCTGGAGTTTCATGTTTATGCTTTTATTTAAGTAAAAGCAGAAAAGCTAAACTCCTCCCCCTTCTGAATAGCATACATTTAAAAAACCCAACACCACTAAAACTATGCTGCATAATTGATAAACACCACAAATGCTCTTTATCTATTAGTTTGTGTAAAGTACTGTACTGATCACTCTACAGGCTTCTATCCTTTGGAGAACCCAGATTTTTTTTAAGCTTGCTAAAGGCTACATAGATTTTCTGTTCTGCATTAGTTACCTTTTGAACAAGTTTGTTTTAGGTGCTGAACCTGTTGGTATTTTAGCAAGAAAACAGTCTTGGTAAGCAAATATCAACAGACTATCTAAGCTAGCTCACCATTCCACTCCAAGGAGAATGGATAAGAAGTTTCCCTCCAGAACAACTCATCTTAAATCCCTTGCATGTCAGAGGCTATTACGAAAAAAGTGGAATGACACAGAAAAACTGGTCCCAAGCCTACAGCAAGATCTACTCATGGTGAGCGCTACACATCTGGTGTTCACTCTCCATGGTGCAGAAGTTGACACTAGCAAATCCCGCAGGACTGGAATCACAGCCAGCTAGCAGTCAATGTTATCAGCCTGAAGTTCATATTTTAGGAAGCCAGATGTTTTCTACCAAGACCAGCAAACTGCTCCTTGATATCTAGTGAAAGCTAGGCCTAAAGAGCAAAACTAGCTAGTTGGACTATGGTTTTGTTTTCCACAGGGGAGAAACACCCATGTTTAAAGTTTTTCATAAGAAATCACTACTGCAATTTTTTTAACATAGGCAAAGGGAAGCAGATTAAATATGTGGAAAGCATTCTTCCAAACAATACAATTATCTCAAAGAACTTGAGCACTTAGTTGTTAACTTCTTTATTTCCACAAAGTAATACAGTAATATTATTTTCAAATAAAATTACAGAAGAACTCCTGTCATCTACCGATGCCTTTGCCTTTAAATATTGTGGGTTAGTCCACAAGCATTCATTTTACATTAAGGTATATATCAAGTTTACGTTAGGCTTTTAAAAAATGGTCAAGAACATGTAGTACTTCTTCCAATATATTTAGAAGGATAAAGGGTGTTAAATGACTTTGCATCTGCTACATCCTGGTAACACTAGCTGTTGTTTCATTGAAAACTAAAGTTCAAAACAGAGTTTCCAACTCACCAGGCACAATACATCTCTCCTTGCTGCAACTGGCGAGATAAAAACGCTGCACATAATATTAGAGCACTCTTTTCATCTCCATCAGATTCTAGATTGCAGATCATTTCTAGGGCATCTTTGCAATCTACTTCTGCAATCTGGATGGGGGAAAAACAAAAAACACAAAGTGAGACCACTGAAAACTAACCAGATGGCTTCATTTTTAGGCATATAGTAATTTAATTCTCTGTGAAAAGGCAGAAATTAGGAATTTAGTGAACATTTTCAAAGCTGTTGTTTTGCTCTAAATAACTTTAATCAACCTGTTCACTTTCAGATATAATGTATATACCAGAAAGTTAATATTTCATAAATAAAAAGGAATACCACTTGTAATCACCCAAATATTTTAAGACCCATTATAAATTATTATTCACTTTCAGTTTGTGACCACTTAAAAAATCTTTGGCTGCTTGCAGACGTTACAAAAAAACCCAAACAACCAACAAAAAGCCATGCTTTCCCGGAAACAGCAGCACATTAGTTGGACCTGGCTCCACAGAGTCTGTATAGACTGGGTGCTTTGGCAGGGCTTTTTTGGCGTATTTATCTGAAGCTGGGTGATTCAGCTATTGAGAAAAGTGCCAAAAAAGCCCCACTAAAGCACCTGATCTCTACAGACGTTGGGAAAGCTGGGTGCCTCTTCTGGGTTTGTGCTGGGCTCGGCGCAGGAGCGCACCAAGTTCGAAGTAAAGCACCTTTTTTTTAAAAATCCCCCCCATGTCTGTAAGCAGCTTGTGCAGTTATCTTCATTATTTCTTGGAATCCATTCTTTCAGAACTACAATTCCCCCAGTTCCTGCTGTGGGGCCAGATAAAAGAATTATAGGGGTTGAAGCATCAAGTTAGACATACCTGGATCTACCCGTTCACAAAGTTTGAATTTTTCACCTTTCTGCATTCAAGTCTTACAGGCAGATGAAAATTTACGTACTACATTCCTGCCTACACTGCACTGACATTAAGAATCCCACAGCATGTATAATTGAGCAGGGATTTGCACTCATGTCATTTGCCAGCATTTCCTATTCTCCTACTGCTGTTATCATATTGTCCTTTTTGGTTGTTCTTTTGGCTTCAGAAGTCCACCACTGAAATGCTGAACGCAGGCTTGCTTGCAGCTTAAGTGTTCTAGGATTTTCAAGAACAATTATAAATAAATGTTATGCATAAGATACAACTCCAAAGTTCAGAAATGTCAGAATTAAGTTGCCTGTGTAACCTTGTTTTTTCCCCTCCAACTGCATATGCATTATGATGTAGTTACTGTGACAACAAAGTTTTTTTTTCTATGGGAGCCTGGAGACTCATTCAATGCAATGGGCTTGCCCTGGAGATGAATCAGGGCTCTATAGTAAAGATTTGTCTGTAGGAATCTAACTTCATTTGTTGCAGAACTTGAAAGATGTATAATGAATGAAGCAGGAAACTACAGGAAAAGAAAGGGTATTTCAGCTCAGCGGTTTTCAACCTGTGGTCCGCGGACTTCAGGTTTTTGAGGAAAACATCTGCCTTGAATCTACCCTCGATATGAGTGCAGCAGGAACTGTTTGAAGTCTGGGTGACCCACTGCAAGGTGCCAGTTGTCATGATATCACATGTTACAATGCACACACACATTATGTTATGTTGCTCCCTGCCAACATGGATGCAAGTTCCTACATTCTTTACCGAAAGATAAACACCAAATAACCACAGTTTTCAACTAAGCTGTAGCCAGGTTCCTGGGACAAGAGAGTCATCGGGGATGTGGAGAGCAGAAGGGAACAAAGGGATACAAAGATGTGGGACAGATGGGAAAATAAGGAAATCATGATGTGGGGAAAATCTGAAAGTGTATGGAGATGATTGTATGGAGATGAGTGTATGGAGAGTGTATGGAATAAGATTGACAGGATATGAGAAAATGTGACAAAACAAGCCAAGTAGCTGAGTAGTAGACTGCAGCTCTGGTGGGGAACATTTGGGAGGAGGTGGTCATGCGAGTATGTACTAACTTATACAGTTGCTGAAGATCATGGATCAGCAACTTCTGGCCCATGGAGACACTGAGTGCAGCCTGAGCAGCTGGAGGGCTTTGCCTGAACCTGCACTGCCATTGCTTCTCCCAGCCCTCACCCTGCTCCCTGGCTGCATGTAGGCTCAGCTTCCAGCCTGGAAGGAGGAAGGGAGCTGCACCAGGGCTAGGGAGTTGTAAAATGTATTTGTACTGCTACCGTTTCTCTCAGCTCCCCTTCCCCACCTCCCAGCAGCAGTACGGACACAGATGGAAGCTGAGCAGTCCCAACACAGCTCCCAATGGGCTGCAACCAGGACAAGGGGGGGACAGGGAGAAGTGGAAGTTTCTTTGTCTGCATTTGCATCAGGGTCAAATGGCAAGGAGCTATGTCAGGGTCCTGCAGCTTCCAGCTGCACCTGTGCTGTTGCTGCTTCTCCCTGCTCCCCTCTCTCCTTGGCTGCAGTACAGATGCAGTTTCCAGCCCATGGGTAGCTGTGCTAGGGCTAGACAGACTTCAGCTGTGCCCATGCTGTAGCTGGGAGGTGGAGAAGAAGAGGCAATGGCAGCATGGACGCAGTTTGCAGCTCCCTAGCCCTGGTGCAACCCCAAATGGCTGGAAGGTGACCCCACACGCAGGGACTGTGGCAGGGGGGGGAGGGGAGAGCAGAAACAGCTACAGTG